AATAGGGGACAATGTGATCGGGGTTCCCACATTTGAGGCATTGATCCGCCTTCTTCCTTTCCGCCCGAACTTTTTCTGTGATTCCCAATTCTTTCCAAGGCTCTCCTTCCGACAGGCCTGGATGAGGTGGGTATGGCTTATCCCACTTGTTGTACCATGAGCCTCTTCCTCTACCCCATGTGGAGTAAGAACCACGGTCACCGTATGAGGGACCATTTCCCCTTCCTCCCACGTAGTGGCTTCCTTCACCACCACCCCTCTGGGTGCCGAATCCTCGTCCACCACGACCGCGACCTCTTCCTCGGCCACGCCCTCTTCCTTGATGCCCTCCCCCGCGGGTTGCAACAGCCACGTAACTTCCCTCCTGAGCTACCGGTCTGTTGGGTTCATCGAGACCATAATCTACCTGATCCCAGGAAATGGTCTCGGCGCCTCCTTCTTCAAAGGTTAGAAGGAGACTGTCTTTCCCAGGTATAGGCCCTGAGATGGTGTGGTTTTGCCATCTTTTACCCGCTTGCAGATCCTTCCAGTAATGGCAATAATTTGCTTCCGCGAGGAAGCCGGCATGATCTATGGTGATGTTGTCGAACTTCTCATATGTCATCCCCTCTTCCTTGGTACGGGGATAGAGTTGTGTTCTTAGGGGATCCAGGAGTGCTCGTGCAAAACTGTTCAGAATTTGGGCTGGCGTTAACCCGTGATCAGGGTATTGCAATAGTTCATCCATAGTTGCCCTTAGTGCAGAGGTACTCTTCCATTTCCTGTCAGGAAGGCTGAGGATCAGCATTTCTGTACGTCTTGCCAAGTTTGTGTCCTCAAATCTTTCTCTTATTAATTTAAGGAAATCTTCGATTCGCGTTTGCTGCGAATATTCTACCATGGAGCTGCATCCCGCCTTCTTTTGCAGCGAGATAGCGAAGCTCATGGCGTCGCCTCCCATGCACGAAGTTGCCATCAACACCCTGTCCCAGTATGGGATACGTTGGCCGTACACATAGGTCTCAATTGTCGCCGCCCAGTGTAACACACTTTCTTCTTTCTTTCCATTGTAGGTCCACGGAACCTGCCCGGCTTCCTGAGAAGGTTTGTCCTTTGGATCCCCAATCTTCTTCTTTCCTTTCTTGTCACCATCACCGTCGTCATCACCATCGTCTCCGCCACCTCCCGCTCCTTTCACGATCTTCTCTATAACTTCGGGAGTGAATGTCTTACTGACGTGGTCATCTAGAACCTGAATATATGTCTGAACATGATGGTCCACATCCTTAGCAGACTTCTCTAAGAAGTTATTCCAGACGGTTTTGAAATCAACCCGATGCGTTTCAACTCTTTGTAGGGTCTGGCGCATTAGGTTCATATCTTGTCTTGTGTTAAGCACTGTTTCTCTGAGTAAAGCTAATTGAACTTCAGTTGCAGAGGAGTCTTCCTTTTGGGCTTCTAGGGCCTTTTGCAATCTTTCTCCTTCTGCCTGCAGTCTTTTCTTTTCATCAATTTCTTGTCTTCTAGTTGCTAGCAATTTACTATGCAACTCAGCCCTTTTTTCTTCCATCATCAGGTTTCGCTCAACGGTATCTGTCACTGTGGCCAGCTTGGCAATGAACACATCACGTTCTTCTTCCGACTCTTTCAGTAATTCGCTGGAGTAGTAGTATTGATTAGCCCAATTCAAGGGCTCAACGGGGAGTTTCTGTGCTGTACTACTCTCCGGGATATCAATGGGACGACGTCTTACTAAAGTCTCCACTTCCTCTTGTTCTTCTTCTTCTTCTTCTTCTTGTATACTTTTCAATTCTTCTTCCAACTCTCTCTCCATCTTTTCCTTCATTTTCTTTCTTGCTTCTTCTTCTTTCTGTTTTTTCTTTGCTTCTTTCTCCTTTTTCTTATCTGCCAGCCTGCGGTCTATTTCTGCCTGCTCCGCAGGTGTAGGGCCAGGCTTCACTGTTCCAGACCGCATCAGCATGCGGGACGTGCACACACGCCCGAACCCCAGTGGGAAAATAAGTCGAAACAGCGGCCCCAACAAGACAGAAAGGGCCAACAGGCCCTGGATGGGATAGTCATCCATGATGACTGCCGGCACAGGAGACCCTCCGCCGGGTCACCAAGGTACTATCCCACTTACGGACTTGGTCTTGACTTGCCGTAATGGAGTAGTTATACTTTCCTTTTCCTTTTTTTTTGTTTAACGGTAGAAGGCGCTGCGTACAATCAATAATAGATCAAACTACAATGAACTTGAATATGTCTATTTTTTTTTTTTGATGTGCTGTCTGGCCTCCTGGATCGAACTTTTGGTAATGTGTTTCTGTTGTCTTGCTTTCTCTCTTGATATAGACTTTTTTTCTTTCTTTCTTGCTGGGTGTCTGATGCAGGTATGGAGTACAGCGCAGATTCAGATGGTTCACTTATCCAACCAGGCAGGAATACTTCGTTCCAATGTTTCTTTCTGTTGGGCTCAACAGGCCCTGTAGATACTCAATATCATCCTTATACTGCCTGGTACATACTATCTGATGTGGCACATAGCCACTTCCCACATCGATTCTTGGTTCTTGATGACCCTTATACTGCCTGGTACATACTATCTGACGTGGCACATAGCCACTTCCCACATCGATTCTTGGTTCTTGATGACACTACCCAGCCTGCCTATCAAGAGGGATAGGAGAGAGACCTACTCCTATTCGCAGAATACTGGACCACCTACTCTAGTGTGACCAGTTCCTGACACATCACACTTGGGTCATCAGACTCTGACGGCTCAGACCTGACAGCTATGACAACCCAGATCCAGACTTCGACTCCTGACCAGATCAGCAGCAGTCACCTTCAAAGGGTCAAAGAGAGAGAAGGTAGGGCACCCACACATGCATGCAGGTTCAGGGAAAGGAGGTGCTTCTCTCTTCTTGAAGATGCCGCCAATGATGCTCCACGACGCTCCGCACACTCCAGATAAGTAGACTTCGCCACTTCTTCTTCGGCCTGCTTCCCCCACTATCAAACCCTTCTTCTCTTCCTCCCTCCTTCACTCTTCCTCCATCACCACTTCTTCTCGCCAGCCTTGATCAGACCAGCGCTATGAGTGTAGCGAGCATCTGCTCCGATACCAAAATTGCATGGGTCCTGGGGACCATCTCACGCAGATGTGTACATGTCATGMATCATCTYCACACGCAGTGATCAATAGTCTCAACCATAGACAAAGGTAGAGAAGAAGAGGACCGAGTTTCACTGCTTATATTATCAGAAATATGATTACAAAGTGTTTCAAAGTTCCCCTGAGTCCAGCGCTCATCAGCGCAACACAAATCTCTGTTCAACTCATCAA